GTCTAACTGTCAGTCTTACCACATGTCTCTGTCCTTCGCACGTCCTTTAAAAAGAAAAATTTTCAAAGCAGGTGATCCCTTCAGGCTGTGAGCGGACACTCTGCCGCCGTCATCCCTCCACTCGCTCTCTCTCTCTGCTCTCTGTCACAATGGCCTTGTTTTCTCTGTCACACCTTCTTAAGTTATGTAGAAACCGGTATAACGAGTCTTCTCTCTCTCTCTCTCTCTCTCTCGCTCTCTCTCTCAGCTGTTTACACTGTCCTCTCTGTCTCCCTCCCTCCCTCTCTCTCTCTACCCCCCTTTCCCCCTCTCTCTCTCTCTCTCTCTCTCAGACAGGTGGATGGCTGCTTTGATTCAGTGGAAAAAAGGGACATAATGGAAATAAAAAAGGAAGAAAGCAAACAGTTTAATGGCAGACGGGTGAACTATCATGTATTATCTGTGTCTGTCTTTTGTTTGGCTGCGTGTCTGTTTCTAGTTTGCGTGTCCATCAACCTCCTCTGATACAATATGAAGGCAATCATACAGCACAGAGACTAAATCACAGTATCTTCCATTAAAACCATGAAAAGACGCGGAAATTGGCACTTAAAAGCTTGAATTTCATAAAGAACTGACAATAAATCAATTGTTTACAGGTTTAAAGTCTTTGTCAGTGTCATTCTGGTGCAGGATGTACCTGAGGGCATCAGGGAGCTTCTTACTCCTGGAGGAATCCGAAACCGCTTGAGTTATTTGGTCACAGATTTCGTCTGCCTGTGAGAATAAGAAACTGGAGGTGGCATCACTTGTAAAACTTGAACCATGCTGATGATTCAAACTGACTCGCTGAGTCAGGCAGGAAAGGCTGGGAAGCTGCTCAGGTGTTATTACTCACCTTCACCGTCTCACAGTTGAAGAAGAGAATGTCCGGCTTCTTCTGATCTTCACTTTGGCAGATTAACATGAGGAGGGATGAGAAGCGTTTTTCTGTGTTAATGGCATCACATCGGTAGATGGATTTGAAGGAGTATTTCTCCAGCTCATCCTGCAGGAGTAGATCAAATTTAAGATTGTTATACACGCAAATATAAATGGGATTTCTCAGCTGAACACGTTTAAATCTAATCCTCTTTCATTTAAATCACTCACAACCTACAGGCCTGTAGAGCATCACATCGCCACTTCTCACCTGGCTCTGTATGTCTCGGAGATGAATGGCCTCTGATCCAACATCCAGGCACATCTGTTGACTCCATAGCTTTTTGTTCTGAGCCAGGAAGGAGAGACGTGACTTGGCCTCCTCCACACTCTGCACATCCCCGTCCTGGAGTGAGAACGTCAGCAGGTGCTGCAAGCAGAGAGTAAGAAGTAATGATGAGGAAGGGAGGAAAAATGCTTCTTAAAATATCACTTAATCTCAGAGGAGACAGGTTGAGTTAAGGTGTAGCAGGTAAGACTCACGTTAACAAGATATCGCGAGATGTTTGTCATCGTTTGTCCACCGTGTCAGCTTTCTATGAGTAGACAGATGGAGAGAGAGGATCAGAAAACATTTTAGGTGCAGCTGCAAAGGGTGTTGTCCAAGTACCTTTGATCCACTCAGACATGTAGATTTTTTCATCCAGTACTGATGGTGTTGTTTAAGACAAGAAGTAGTCTTTGTCTAAACTAACACTTCTTAGACAGTACCTGTGAAAGCAACATCCTCATTCAAATTTTCCCTTCCCCTGTTTCAGTCTACGTCTGCCTGTACCTGTGTCTCCTAGAGCACCCTGGGATTACGCCCAGTGAGTGAGCCACCCAACCAGTCTGACCACAGTACAGTGTATCACACCATTCAATCTCTCTGCTCCTCAGTGACCATCAATACTGGAATCACTGGTACTGAGACAACAAACGTTCAGTCTCAGTTATGCTTCCCTTAGACTGGTTTCATCAGAAATACATGATCAAAGAGTGTTTCCGTCTTGTTCCCTCATACAGTCAGTGGCAAACTGGTGTGGCTGGAGTCATACTCACATATAATAAAAGTCTGAGAGCTCAGTGTGTACACTATTAAGTGAAAAGAGTTAACACCTATTAAAATATTGACTAAATTCCTAAATCTACACTACTGAGTTCATGTTTCCATATTTAAAAAAAGAAAGGTTTGTAGGAAATCAACCTCAGCAACATCACCCTAATAATAACCATTAAAAAAGCACATCATCAGCTATCCAGATTAGTATCCAAATGTAGAAATAAGGAGTCCAAAATTAACCAGCTATGAGCTAGATGGATGATTGGAAATGGAAGTTTGATCAACTTACCAATGCTGAAAGGCTCCCAGTGCGGTATTCCTGATGCTAACAGCTGTGTGTGTGTGTGTGTGTGTGTGTGTGTGTGTATGTGTGTGTGTGTGTGTGTCTTTATACTGACAGTAAAACCTGTCCTGCCTCTCAGTGTACCTGCAGGTGCCTTATGCTCCAGTCATTGGTACTGAAAGCTTTCATAGAGCAGAGTTGTGTCACCTTGCGCAGTCCCGCCCAGTGTACCAACCCAGCTTGATATAAGAGAGATAAAAATATTTACTCATTCTCCTTCCTGTACACCTTCATATTAATAAGAATCAACTTGTCTTTGGAACTTGGGATCTTTGGGAAACTTAGTTTAGAGATTTACCCATGTTGGGTATTTTATAAGCCAATTCTAATATTTCCATATTTAGCCTTATATATATATATATATACAAAGTGAGTAATTTTAATTATTATTAATAACTGTGGAGATGTTGTAATCAGGTGACAAACTCGAGAGGCAGGTGGAGGTTTAAAGAGTAATTTATTGTTGATATGGAGACAGGTTTGGAGGCNTATATATATATATATATATATATATATATACAAAGTGAGTAATTTTAATTATTATTAATAACTGTGGAGATGTTGTAATCAGGTCACAAACTCGAGAGGCAGGTGGAGGTTTAAAGAGTAATTTATTGTTGATATGGAGACAGGTTTGGAGGCAGGCTGAGGAATGGGTTCGACGGAGCTGGGCAGGGGACTCTGGGAGACTGGCGGAGCCGAGCTGGGGATGCCAGTAGTGGCTGAGGAGGATAGGCAGACTGGAGCTGAATCCAAACAGGTAGGAGTTGCAGGTGGTGATACCTGAGGCACAGGAAAACAGTATAAGTTGGAGCATGAGAAACACTAGGACAACTTGAGAAAAATTTGAGAGCTGGCCGTGGCGTTTTACCGCACTGGTACCACCTGGTGAAGACCGGAGGGATTAGCCGGGTTTTATTTACTGGCGTGGGTGGTTGATAAATTGATGAGATGAGGAGGCTCACCTGTGCAGATGGGTTGACGGGAGATGAACTAAGTAACCACGCCCACTTCTAGACACAAAGACACAAAGACACACACACACAGGTATAGGGAAAAAAGGGATAACACAAGGAAAGGGAAGGAAACAACCAAACCCTGATAGGAGAAGGTTTTAAACAACATTCAAACCTAAATGTTGGGAAATAAAGTGTACTAGTGAATCGTTACCTGGTGTCTGCAGACACAGGCAGAGAGTTGCATCTTTTCAAACTAAACATCTTTATACAGGACATACATGCACGTGCGCACACACATGGTTCGGGGGTGGGGGGGTGGATGGTCCATACATGGTGTTCACAGAAATGGGACAGTGGGGTGTCACATTTCACAACACAGTCCTTATTTATAGGTAGCCAAGTTTCGCATTTGTCCACCAACAGAGGAGATAGGTGGAGTAGGGTGAAGAGGCAGAAAGCGCGAGGTTCCCACTTGACATTGATTTAAGGACATTTGGATACTCTTTTCAAGAATCTCTGCTATTTTGATACCAAAAGGTATTTGTCAGTTATTTATAAGTTTGTGCCACTATTCCCAAACGCGTAGATTAAACTGTAGTGTTTGAGTCGGTAGCGCTGGGAGACTGTTATTTGCCTACAAAACAAGCATACGTGGCAGACGGCGTGCGTATGTGTGAGTATGTCAGAGCAGCCACTGCCAAAACCACCAGACAGTAGAGGATATACAGAGAAACCTATGAATTTGACGAGGTTAGCAGAATATAATGCTGTTAAATTAAGTTTTAGGACACAAAATTATTCCAGTTGGCTTGAAAAAAAAACATGTCTGAGGCTCAGACTACTGCATCAGCTTGAATGTCATGAAATGTGTAAATGTCCAATTATACAGCAGTAAACAAAAACTGTGACGTTAAAAATGGAGAAATGCTCATTTGCCACGTGTTGACAATCGGGGCGTTGTATCGAAGTAGATGAACCATTTCAACTGTCCTTCATCCACTTTGGCAACATGACGATTTGAAGTTGTCCCTTTTACATCACAAATGAGCACAGCCATGAACACAAAATAGTGAAAGACTGCTGGGGTCCCATTTGCATTGTTAACTGCACGTTTATCTGGCATCATGCATTCACGTGTTGGAAAATAAAATCTAACAGGATCGGTGTATACGCTTATCCTGCAGTCACAGCTCCTCGTGTGTGTGTGTGTGTGTTTGCGCGTGCGCCACACCATGCAAATCACTTAAATTTAGCCAAAAAGCTGCAAATAATTAAGTTGGCCGTTATACTATGATGTCAACAAGTACAATTTTGAAGTAATACTAGTTTGCTTGGATATTTCCATTTTCTGCTGCTTAATATTTACAAATCAGAGGGGAATATTAATACTTTTAACTCCTCAAGTGTCTTTGAAGATGAAGATTACATACGCAAATTTGAGATCTACTTTAATTAGCTCCACCTAGAAAAAGTGCTTACACATTGGTAGAATCTTGTAACCCAATGGTAACCCAAGGATATGGTGTCCTCATCATGGTTAAAAAAAAAATTGGTGTATGACTTTTATGACAGATTCATAGTAAAACGAAGGATACCTCATTCTCTAATGTGGGTACCCTGGTTTACTGCGGCCCCTAAACGCAACGTTGTGGTTATTGTATTGCATCACGCGGAAGAAACAAGCCCACCACTACACCAATGGACAACGAGAACACACGGGCGGTTACAGTATAACTGTATTCAACTGATGTGCATCTGTTTGTATATCTTTTTTTTTAAAAAAGAGATCAATGTCGGTGTCAAAGTATCTGGTATGTTGTGTTAATTTGAAAAACAGAAGAGTAACTTAGCTCGCGACGTGGTTGACAGCACTAACAGTCCAAACCGTTGCTACACGTGCTCGTCGCCTCCTCTGGCTAAAAAGAAACGATTACCGCCGACATTCTCCGTTTTCTGCCGTCTCCAGTGTTTCCTCTACCTGTTCCCTAACGACATTTGTCGGTGTCCAGGTTAGTGTGGTTTGTATTAAGCGTCGTTTTTGTGTGTTTACTTTGAGTACAGACAAAGACGGACTATCTGTACTGCGCTGTGCCACGTTGTTGCTCAGTGGTTTGTTTAACTTGGGATAAAGCGTCAAGATGTTGCAGCCGTTTTTCCTTTGTTATGACTGTTGATGATGTGAGGACCTACTAAGTCTACTGCCCTAAGTAATATGAAGTATGTTAGGAGATGTGCTAATCATTATTTTACACCTGAGTTACCAGTTGAATACAATTAATGTAATAAACTACTTGGTGGGATAGCAGGCTACTTATATGAACATGCAGATGCCCGTTTATTATTTACACTTGACTAAAGCTAACTTAGTCTAACTCATTAGCCCTTGCTAACCTTGCTGCCTGTGAGTCACATTCTAGTTGATGTAAATGGAGTGGACAAAACCCGCTAATTTCAGCACAATTTAGTCCAACAGCACCACAACAGCAGCCTCCCAAATAACCATATATTTGAATCATGCCTCTCCTATACAATTTCTACAAAAACATGAAAACTTTAGTGGTTTAGTGGTTTTGTTGCAGTGCTACATCCGTTTCAGCAAAGTGCACCTAATGTGAGTGTATGCACACATACATTGCCACAGGACATAACATAGACTTGCATTCATTTCCTGGAGACTAACCCTACGCTTGTTCTAACCTTAACCACTGACCCAAGATCAGTATTTTAAAAGTTAGGGATTTAACTTTTGTTCCCAATTCGACAAGCTCTCCCCAATTAGCCCATGACAACACACACACCACACCTCTAAAGTAAATCAGTGGCACAGTATCCTTGCATTGCAGTGTCAGTCTAACATACCTGAAACAACTGTTCAATTGCCTAAAAGTCCTCATAAATCTGTTTTTAAAAATCTACAGGATAGCTGGGTAATTTCATCTTTCTTCCTTCTTTTGTTTTTGTCCCCTCCTGTCTTAGATGGAGAAGGAGCCCCTGCCAACTGATGATGACAAGACAGAGGTCAATGGCTACACTGGTGAGGAGAGTCAGCAGGCCTCGTCTGAGCCTCCAGCCCGAGCAGGATGGAACAGTAAAATAGAGTACTTTTTGGCTCAGGTGGGATTCAGCGTCGGGCTTGGCAATGTCTGGAGGTTTCCATATTTGTGCCATCAGAATGGAGGAGGTGAGTATCTATTATTGTCATCCATGTTAGATGAGATCCCGAGGGAGACCTATTAATACAGTGCTTAACAGTGCGCCCATGCATTAACTACCAACTGTGTGCCTCTGAATCTGGGCAGCACACCATTTAACATTGTGTATCGATGTATACACTATCTGTTAACAACACTTAATACTGCTGTTTTGAAGTCTGATGCGCCAACATCTGGTTCATATCTGTTGGCAGGGGAAACGATGTAAACTCAGAAAAATAGTGACTCAATCTGGTTTCAGAAGTTTTTTACATTTTTGGGTTCCACTGCGACAAGATGACGATTGATTTTGTACTTTTAGTGAATCTTGCTGTCAGTTTGTCTTCTAATAGCAGCTTATGAAATAGTTTTAGATTTTTTTTTTTTATATTTAAGAAAAACCCTGGAGAACTATACTTGTCTTACTGACCCTACATGATGTGTAAGACAAATCTTCAATAGAACATAGTATTGCAGAGAGCAGTAATCAAAATGGTTAAATATTCTGCTGGTGTGGGATTGAAAAAACAGACAAGCAGAAGTATCTGCTTCTCCTTTACATAATTTTTGTTCAGCGTATCAAATTGAGGTGTTTATTTGCTAACTGAATGCTGTAACTTATTCTCCTCAGGAGCTTTTCTCCTCCTGTACGTGATGCTCATGCTGGTTGTGGGCATTCCTTTGTTCTTCCTGGAGCTGGCAGCCGGTCAGGCCATTCGACAAGGCAGCATCGGAGTGTGGAGGTACATTTCCCCCAGGCTTGCAGGGATCGGCTATTCCAGCTGTGTGGTAAGATAAGAATTGCTATATGGTTGACCCATCTACTAAGACATAGTTCAGTATATGGTGTTGCATGCATTCCAGGTGTAATTTTGAGTTTTGCGCTTCTACTCCAAGCAAAACTTGCCATTTTTGCTAGAACACCTTTACCAACATCTAGAAAAGTATATTGGTTGTGTAGAGCAAAAGAGCAATGGTGTGTTTTTCCAGTTAATAAAAATGTTTGGACAGAGCTGTGTTGAGGCACCAGTTGTTCAAATAGCAAAAAATGGTGATGAAGCAAATGTCAGCACCGATCTCCTAATTCAACTTAGATTCACAAAGTCCAGAATTGATTATTGATCATTCAATTACATCAGGTAAATACCAATGTTCCATTAAGCATTTCACACAATTTGCCTGGGAAGGTGCAGATTCAATGACTAAAACATGATTAATCTATATATTTTTTTAGGTAAAAAAGGCAGCAATAATAAAAACCCGCTCCACTCAGGAGGTGTTAGCTCCTGACAGGAACAGACTGAGTAAAATAGAATCCACACACTGTTCACCAGACTTCCACGGCCTCACACCTTGTAGCTGGAGAAAATATCTCTTCCACAAATGCAAATAGAGCTTAGATCAGTGTGCAGCCTTGTTTCAGTCATTACCTACGAGATAGCCAGCATCAGCTAACCATCCTGAGTCATCACAGTCCTGTAAACTGCGGCAGGTCCCCATAGACTGTAATTATTCACATCACAGTTCACAAGACTGTTGTGACTCAAGGTGGTTCATATAGCCAGCTATTATCCACTTTACTTTTTAACTTAAATAACCTTTTTGCACATGTTGTAATAACTCGATTTTTACAAAGTGCAGGCAACCCTAACTAACTAACCATTTACCCTGAACTCAACCACTAACATTAGAACACAACTGCAGCTGTAGAGAGAAGCACTTTCTTTTAATTGTCCTCCTTTTTGTGACACTTCCATAGCCACTCTTGACAAAATTATATAATTTTCTTATCTTGTTCACAAATGTTTTCAGGTGTGTTTCTTTGTGGCTCTCTACTACAATGTGATCCTTGCCTGGAGTCTTTTCTATCTTGGGAACTCGTTCCAGCACCCTCTACCTTGGAACCAGTGTCCAGAACAGGGGAATTTAACAGGTAAACACTCAGCATAAAGGTTCAATACTGACAAGACATGAGCAGCATTACATTGTTAATGTATTGGCTGTGTGTTACATGTAAGACTACTAGATGATTTTTTTTTTCTTTTTACAACAGTAAAAGAATGTGAAAAGAGCTCCCCCACATCATATTTCTGGTACCGCAAAGCTTTGAATATCACAGACTCAATTGATGACACGGGCTCTTTCAATCCTTACATCGTCTGCTGTCTTCTGGCGGCCTGGACCATCGTGTGCCTGGGAATGTTCAAGGGTATCAAGACCTCTGTCAAGGTAACTGATCTGGTGTGGCACATGGCTTTTCACAGTGTTGGTTTTACTATTAAGGAAGCTGTGCCATAAAAGTGGTATTTTGTGTTAATGTTTAACGGCTCTGACATTTCAGTAGAGTTGTGGTTATCAGCTTTAAACACTGGAACTACTGGTGAAGTGCTTTTTAGTCAGTTACTAGATGAGTTACCACTACAAGCCTCGCAGTTTTAAATGACTGATATAAGTGTTTATTTGCACTGTGAAATGCATGTGGAACTGGGATGGTTCACATTTGCTGAACAAACTTGTGTGTGCCTTTTGGAATAGTGCTGAGAAAGGTTATTGTGATATTTCTATGAGAAGTGTTAAATTATTTTTGTACAGCACATTGGCAAAAGTTAATTTTGATTACTCTGACAGTGACTTTGGACCCAGCTGAGCACAAGACTGAGCATTAAATAACTAAAATATGAAGAGAAGCCCTTAATTTTCCGTGCTGAAAATCACTGACTTACCAACAAAATTGCATGTCTTCTTACGTTGTTTGGATATTCTCAGTTTGGTCAAATCGCATTCATGCGTTGGGCTTTCGGGGTTACTGTGGGTCATGGAATCTCTGGAATGTGTGGCTTAAGTGTTGACCAACTTCAAATGGTAAAATCCACTTTATGTGATGAAATATTGGGAGATTTGTAAATAAAACATATCAGCCAATCCAGTCTTAGTAGGGTTATACACTATAATGAACAGCACAGCATTTGGAACAGTGATTTCCTAATGTTCTATCAAGATGACATTCGTATTCAGGTTTACAAGACGAATTAAAAATCCTCGCTCGGTGGAGGAGTGGAAGTCATTATCATCATTTTATGTTAAAGTCAACATCTAAGGTGAGGTCTAATCCCACTCAGGCTGACATCAGGTGTTTCACGTAATTACTGACTTAAGCACCTGGCTTCTTGATTACAAGGACCATATGTTCAGTATGTAACAAGCAGCAGGCTTACATTAAAGATATGGTGAAACAGTCGTCATCTCTGTGGGGAAAATGGGTTAATGCAGCAGTAAAATTAATAGGATTCAGCAGGGAACTAACTAAAAGACAGTTTACATAAACATAAGGAATTTAAGGAAAAGAGTCTGGATCAAAGCATGTTAACAAGAAAGAATAACATTTGTAGAAATTAGTGCATTTATTAAATAATTTGTAAAAGCAGATACGGAGTCACTTTAGGAGAGTTGTACCTGTGTACTCAGGCAACCAAATAACTGACTTCCTCTGGTAATGCTGTTTGAATTTGTCAATGTAATTGTTTCTTTCTCGCTTAGGTGATGTATTTCTCCTCCATCTTCCCCTACGTTGTTCTGATCTGCTTCCTTGTCCGAGGACTCATGCTGGATGGGGCCTTAGAGGGAATATCCTTCATGTTCTACCCCAAGGTATCTGCAGATAAAATGTTTTATTGAGTGTAGAGAAGTCAGGCAGATGTGTATATTTCCCCGATTCACCTATTGTTCCCTCTGTTCATTTCTAGGTGGAAATTTGGGCAGACTTGCAGGTGTGGCGGCAGGCAGCCACACAGGTTTTCTTTGCCCTGGGACTTGGCTTCGGCTCCATTATTGCCTACTCGTCCTATAATCCCAAGAATAACAACTGCCACCGGGATGCCTTCACTGTCTCTGCTATAAACTTCCTCACATCTGTGCTGGCCACTCTGGTGGTGTTTGCTGTGCTCGGCTTCCGCGCCAAAGGCAAAGTCATGGAATGTGTAGTCAGGTATGTTGTTTGATATGTTATATCTTGTCAGTAGGGCTGAACATTGTGTAACAAAAAGGCAATTTTTGCATTTCACTTTCAATGAAAAAAAAAGGCGATGTGATTTTTGGTGGGGCCTGTGCTAAACGAGCATGTTCCCGTTGGTCTGCAGAATATAATTTGTAGGCCGGGGCGTCTCTGTAGCACAATGCTTCATTTATGGCATGTTATCATAAAATTTCAGCTCCTTCGATTTGGATGTTGCAGTGGGCCATATTGTGATTTTTGATAATATTTCGATTAATTTTGCAGCCCTCCTTGTCAGTGTCTGATCAGATTTTTACACAACATGAGGAAGTAATATATCTTATTGAATATATATGTTTATGATTGTATATTCTTTTGTCTTGTTCTCAGTAATATGAATGAGCTATCGGAGCAGTATCACAGCGGCCATGTGGACGAAAACCTGATGCCAAACTTCAACTACTCTGTTCCCAGTTCTGTGCATGTACAGCGCTACAGGGCCTGGTTTAAAGAGCATGGAAATAATGTCCCTTTCAATTTAACGGACTGTGACCTAGAACAAGAGATGCAGAAGGTAAAGACTGACTTTTTGGACTAATGTAAAAAAAAAAAAAACTGGCGTATCTTATTTGCTGTACATATAAACTAAAGCTGGCACTCTTGTTTGTGTTCAGGGTGTGGAGGGTACAGGCCTAGCTTTTATTGCCTTCACAGAGGCCATGTCACTTCTGCCTGGCAGCCCTTTCTGGTCAGCACTCTTCTTCCTCATGTTGCTCAACTTGGGACTCAGCACCATGTTTGGCACCATGGAGGGCATCCTCGCCCCGCTCACTGACCGCTTCAAAACTCTGGCCAACAACAAGACCAAACTCACAAGTAAACACCTGGTCCATCATTTTTCCTTTACCCATGCAAGTCTCAACATTACATTACTGACACGACTGAAGGGAGAGTGGTGTTGGTTACGAGATAACATGTATCATGATTCTGCAGTTCAGTAATTAGACAGCAAACATAAACACTGTCTTTATCAAGATGTCAGTCAATTTCATGTTGCCCAGTATGTGCTGCTGAACAGTACGACCCTGTAGAGATGAGTACCCAAACCCAGTATATTGTAACCCAGTGACATTATCGGTTCTCCTCTCTGTACTGGAGAAATTAAGAAAGTAGATTTCCTATATATTATTGCCACATAATTTATCTTGCGTCCATCACATACAGGGGGAACAATTGAAAGTTTTCAACCGCCTACCTTCATGGTTCATCTGTCATTGCCCCTGGTATGTTATGTATGCTAGCAGCCTGTAGCCCACACACAGAGTTACCTAATTTATACGGACATGAGTTAATAATTAAAAATAACCATAAGTGATTTGTTCAAAACAATGCTGTTGCAGTTTGCTATATGCAGTGCATATAAAAAAAAGTGAAGCAATGTAAATCTTAATTTGTTATTTTTTTCTCTTAAAAAATAAAAAGAACAGAGTACCATTTTTATTTATATATATATATATATATATATGAGCTGACATTAAACAGGATTTCCCCCCAGTCCGATTTGCCCCTCTTGATTGCATATTGTCTCCTTAAAGAAGTTGTGTTTTCTCTGACATGTCTGCTCTGTTTTAGTTTTCAGCTGCATCATAGGCTTTCTGATTGGCCTACTCTTCACCCAGCGCTGTGGGAACTACTTTGTGATGATGTTTGATGATTACTCTGCCACTCTGCCCCTCATTATTGTGGTGGTGTTTGAGACCTTCAGTGTGTCCTGGCTATATGGAGCAGACAGGTTAGGTCTATTTTCAGACTGTGGGTAATTGACTTAAATTCCATGTGAATTTAAACTAATCGTTTAAGTTCACTCAGTCTCTGAAAGTCTACCACTCTGCTTCTGAAGGTTCCTTGACGACATTGAGGCAATGCTGGGCTGGCGCCCCAGTGTGGTGTACAAGTACCTTTGGAAATACGTTTGCCTGCTTTCTATGCTGGGGTTGCTGGGAGCCACCACCATTCGCATGTTCATCAAACGACCCACTTACATGGCATGGAACCAAGCAATGGTATGGATAATTATATTAAAAAACGCTCCCTAGTCGCATAAAAAATATTGCTATTCGAGATGGGATGTTGAATGGTTGCATACATGTTTCTGTTTGTGGGGTTTGTTTATTTTTCTCAGATATCTTAAACAACAGCAGCTTTAGGCAGCGCAGCCACTGTTTCTGTCTGCACGTAAACAACATGAAATGGTATAGCAAGCTGTCTCTTGCTAAGAGACTCTCTTCGCACCTAATTACTCAAAGATATAGATTTCTCAGTTCACATTGAATATGCAAAGCAGAGTAGTTATAAATTGTGGTTCTTTAAGTTGTTGAGTGATTTAATTTTTTCTTTTTTTTCTTTTTTTTCTCAGGCCTCTGAGGAACACCTGCCGTACCCTGGCTGGGCTCTGGCTGTTCTGGCTTTACTGATCATAATTGCCATGATGCCCGTCCCAGTGGCCTTGGTCCACGCTGTTCTGAAGGAAATGACAAAGAAAATATCCAGAGATACAGAGAATGGTGAATACAGCATGGTAAGCACAGATGACAAGTGTGACACTCCCGTGACTGAAATGACAGAAGTGGACCAAAGGAGTAGGACCTTTGCTTCTTTTTGCTAAACACTGAACTTGTGATATTACAGTGTGGGAAATGAACCTGCAGTACCCAGTCAAAATTTAACTTTGCCCCTCCCTCTTTCGTGGCGACATGGCACAGAGAGCAAATGCAGTATATAACGAAAGGTTCAATTTTTTAATATTTAAAAACTTTTTTTATATTTAAATGAAGTCCAAACATATCCACATGATATTACTTTTTTTTTTTTTTTTTTTTTTTAAATACTACTGTTCATACCAGTCTACCAACTTTTGAAAAGTGTGTAATATAGAAAATATGGAACAAATAATTTATTGCCATATGATGACTAAAAGGTTGAATTTCCAACAACTGCTGATTTTTAGAGTTGTTGTCCAAATGTTTTAGTTTTCAGTATAAGCCATGGACATCACATAAACACGTTCCTGCATTTTTTTTTTGTATAAATAGTTCACTTGTACATTTATCTACAATAATGACTTTTTTTTCACCTTTATAAAAACACTCACGTGTGAGATGTACCTCATCATTTCAAGAATTGATACATACTACATTGACAGTAAATATCCCCAAAAATTCCTAAACCAGCAACCTTTTGCTCCTCATTTTGTTATAGAGAGAACTTGTTACAAAAGGTTTGTGAGACTGTTACACCAGGAAAGGGGAAATTCAGGTATGTTGAAATGAAGTACAGCTATTAGGTACAGTATTAATGCTATTTACAACACAGAGGCCATTAACAACGTTTACAGCTCAACACCACTGAGTCCTGGTCACAGGTACTATATGTATTCAGGCGAACTGTGTATCTATACATTTCACACTACACATGTATGTGAACATTCTCTGTTCAACTTGAAATCCAACAGCTGATGTACAGTATCTGAGTATGACATTTCTGGCTTTGTTTTATAGTGATTGTCATTTTAACATCACTGTTGTCTCCGTATTGGTAAAAGTTTAAAATTCGACTCTGAAAATACATTTCTATCATTCTGTCATGTCCATTTCTGTGACATCAAACATCAGCAACAAAAAAATCATATGTTGTAATGAATACAGGAACAAGGGCTGTTGGCAACCTGCAGCCTGGTGTTTTTTTGTTTTTGCTGAACCGGTTGATCAAGTGACAGCATGGTACAAACACTGAGGGGAAAGTCAAAGTTGTAATGTAAATATGTATATAGTACATGGGAAAAGTCTTCAAGAACAGATGTTATAGAAATTTGTATATCAATTTGTACGTCAGTTTGTACATCAAATTTGCATGAAGCATTGTTTTGTCTTAGTTTTTTAAGCTCGGGTTTAGGAGGAAACTAGGTGCATGTTTATTTCAAAGGGCTATACAAAGTCTCTGACCAGGCAAAGTACTCCTTTACCTAAGATGTAACTATAAATACTTGTCATGTAATTAATGTGATGATTTTTGAGAACTATTTTGTACACTTAAGTCCTTGATCATCATCATCTTCTGTTTGCAGTAGCCATTTTTCTGAAGTTAAAGGTGTTGGTTTTTTTACATTCTCAGTGGGTTACTATCCAAATGAATTGACCTCATGAACTTGAATGCTGCTGAATGTAACTTTATTGATCCTAAGTGCCTTCAGATTTAATGAGGCTGATTGAACAAATGTTAAAAGCATTCCAGCATATAATTTTAAAAATTTCTTTTGGCAGATTCATCTTTCAATAGTGTATGTAGTTTGTCTATATGAAATGAATTTTTAAGAAAATGTAATATAATGCCACTTCTATGTAATATATTGTCATTCTTTTATTAAAAAAGTACAGCACAATACTGTATTAAAACAATCCTTGTGTTTAAAATGTAGCTTTTAACTTGTTACTTAAACTTGGCTCAGAAGATTGTCCAAGAAAGTCGTGACTGACTTGTTAGGCAGTTTTCATGATTTATATTTTTAAAAACATGGCACTAAATGAACATCCAAATAAAAAATGCTGTTTTGCAAGCATGGATTACAGTTGTACACAGGAAATACTTGAGAAATACATTCTAAGTACTGGTGATTCCATAACTGCAGGAAGTGTTGTAACATACTGTAGACTTGTTGACTTTCTTTTTTTCTTCTGAAATAAGGCTGGTTGATGTTTGTACTTTCAGTTCAGAGTTTGGAATAAATAAAAGTTAGGCAGACAGTGTTAATGTCAGCATTGATGATTTTTAAAGGCCAGCTCCAAAGCAGAAATTAGGCAAGTATCAATAAGGTGTAAGTGACCCCTGGGATGAGAGGCAGAAAAAATGATCCACATGTGCCTTAAAAATGGATGTAGGAGGCCAACTTCAACTCTTTCATTGCTGTCAAGAAAAGCAGCAAATACCACAAGTCAGATACTGACTGGATGTCCTTCATATTCTGTTGACAAATCAGCTCAGATAGTGATGTCTTCTTTCCATTAACTAGTCGAGGCTTACTGAGCGTGAACTTACACACATTCACTTTGGAAAGGACACTTTTCCAGTATTTCTCACAGGGCGTGTCCATTGAAGCATTTGGTAGGTCCATCAATTACTTAAAAGCCCAGATGCAAGGGCAGTTTTTTAAAGGGGTAAAGAGCATTTCTGCAATCGTGTTCCCCACCAACACACACTCCCAACACCTGCTGTGTGCTGCTGCGCATCTGCACCATTATCTGCCTGGGAAAGTTGAAACATATCAAGGCCTCCGCCAAGGTAATCATCTGAGCAGCTGTTCAACGACATGTAACGGCAACACAGTTTGTTTTTCTTACTGACTTGTGATTGTACAGGTTGTAACAGGATCTGCCTGATCAGGAAATATTTCTAAGCCACACCAGCTCTTGCTGGCTGGAGGCAGGTTTTAGTTTGAGTCTTAATGTGTCTTTAGAAGTGTTTGTGGAACAAGTGCAGGCGGCCGGAAATATAATGTTCAAGGCTATCAAAACCTAAGCCACTGACCTATTGTAGCTTTAGCTTTAGCTTTAAAACCTCTTTTGATACCGTGAACAATTTGTGCATTTCTTTGTTTTTCTTTCATATCTATCAGTCCTTGAACAGTTTGAGTGTCCTTGCAGGGTTGTGCAGACCACGGGAATGGAGCACACGCTGCCTTTACTCAAACATGTTTCAAACCGGCCAACTTAGAGGATCAAATATCAGACTGTTACAGTGTCTAAACAATGTCATTCTCCAGATCAGATTGTCCATTAAGATTGGACGATGAAGAGTAGAGTGGAATATAATTAATTGTATACATATGTAATTATTTTGGAATACTTGTTATAGTATAGTATGACTTACTTAGAATTACGTTTGATATATTTGTCCAGACAATCCTCCTGGTAACTGTGTTGTGTTATTCTACAGTTACATTTAAAAGATCTTAGATATTATCTTTAGGATTAGATTTAGATCTTTTTTTTTTTTTTTTTTTGGCATAATAGTTGTTTGAACTTCATATCACGTGCACTCTGCTTTAGACGTGGCCCGTAAGCCAGATGCATGACATTGAAGCAGTACATTTATGTGTCAGTAGGGAGCTCTGCTGCACTTGTGTCAGAACATCACTCTGCTGAAAATCCAAGACAATAGGTGGTGTGAACATTACACTCCTGTTTGGTTTGTCATTTATATGTTGGGTGGCTCTTTTTTCTCATATAACAACTTTTATTGTCTTTTAAAAGACCTAAATGAAAACACTGATTTCACTGGCTTAGTTCAAACTACAAATTCAAGGTCAAATTTTAAAAGCTTTCAAAACATTGTGCCAGGGCAGAACATGCTAAAGGAAAGCCTTTCCCCTTTGTGCTTTGGCTAAACACAGCTCTTGTGTAAGTCACCTTCTTCGACGCATATGATTGTGTGGAAGACTAACTCACAGGTGTCCCCTTGGAAATATTATGTGTCTGGGGAGTTTAGTTGTCTTGGATGCAGTATCACTTCAGTCAGCCAGAGGCAGAGAGCAGAGGACCAACACCCAGCAGAGAGAAAGACAACGTCCTCGCTTCAACCTCAGGTAAATACAATTAAACAAAATTTATTTCAAATGTTCTAAGTTTGAAATGACATTAAAAATGAATGTATGTGTGTTTGTGTAAGATGGGGAGGTTGATTAATGGTTTCAGGGGCCTCTTTTTAGAGCAGGACCAGGTGAGGTTTACCACATTCATCTGGTAACTTATGACGATACAGTATGAAGAACAATAACTATATTGTTCTGAAAATTACTGAGTTTAATATCCATTTACGGTGACTACAGTAAGTTCCTAATCAGTCCTGTTAACAAACAGGAGAAAGTGTATTTATGCTTACTTTCAAAATACGTCAAGTTTAGTACAGATATTTTTTGTTTTATTTTCATTGATTATATTCTTACAACTAACTTATTTTTGATTTGTAAGTGTACCCGTGGATGATCCACATGGCGGGCCTGGCAGCTCTGTGCCTGCTGCTGGTGTTTCCACTGAGCAGCTCCCAGAGCACCCTGCAGTCTGAGCAGGAGATCAACGCCCATCAGGCTCCGGCAGCAGCACCTCCTCCTCCAGCACACATAAGGGACCTTCTTAGTAAACAGGAAACCACTCACTTAAATGCAATGCGAACATGTAAGTCTATTCACATGCATTCTGCACAGTGTTAATCTTAGAAAGAACTCAATAACAGAGATGTTGCATGAAGATACTCGTGAACTACACCAAGTTACAACTCGTGAAGGCAGCTGATTTTTCCAACATGAATGTGGAGCCTAACTCTTTGTCATGTGTTCGTGCCTGCACAGACGGCCATGTTGACAAAGATAATGCCAAAGTAGGTCTGTTCATCGCTGCGGCCATGGGAACCTTCACTCTGATGGGTGCAGTTTACTGTATCTACAACAAGTTCTACACCAAACAGCAGTACCTGCACACCCAGCTTAACAATGACCCAGGTAGATTAACAGATTTTTATTCATTTGTTAACTTGTTATTACTGCAGCTGTGTGGTACCAAAATGCATTGCTTGAAGGGACTGGTGGAAACCTGTACTTTTATGTACATGTAAAAACATGTATGTCTGCTCAACTAATTGGCACCACTGCAGAGAGAATTATCAACTGAAACAAAACTGAAAAATTATAGCTATGGTCAAAAATCACATCATCATTTTTATATTTTTTCAGTGAAAATGAAATGCAAAAATTACCACTGCCACTAAAATCGTGACTATCACAATTGCAATATCTGTCAAAATAATTGCATTATGATTTTTTTTTTGTGTATCGTTCAGCCCTGAATATAAACTGTCTCTGGACTCATCAACATTTCAGCTTTTTCCCCTCCCGTCTCTTGGGTATCATTTGTTGTAAAGCAACACAGGCCCTGTTGGGTTATTAAACATGAGCATGCTATGCCTCGCTTATTGGCACTGTGCAACATGACTTCTCACTACCGAAGCACTTCCTGCTTGCTGCCATTTGGAGGCACTAATAAATGATGTTGCATGGTGTAAATAATACAACAGCAAATGTGTATATACAGTAGATATCGAATATATGTACAGAGGCATGACTGATGTCTTGTGCTCTCTCCTGTGAGCTAATATTTAAACAAAAACATTTGGATTGACAGGAAAAATGAATGAATTTTCTTCTATCTCTGTCTGCAGATTTGACCACAGACCCAATGGACCCTCCGCCTGTGTTTTTTCACGCCTCTGTTGACTCCAGTGCAGTAGATGTGCGGAGAGCTGGTTACGGCTCGATCTCGGACACTCCATCCATCATCTCTGTCCCACCCAGCCTGTCCCCCCCTCTCTCTGCCATGCCCTTCCCTCCCCTCTTCCTCTCCTCTCACTCTCTGAGAACTATATCAGCTAAGGATCTGGAGAAGAGCTGTATCTGATACAGAAAGCTTAGTAAGCAGTCTGACAGCTTTGAATGACGTTAAGAAGAAGTAGTTGCTATTTGAATGTACACGTTGTTTATCATTATCTGTACACATTAGACACATTTTTAATTTTTGTGGGGCAAATGATGCTGAAAATGTTTTCTCATGAAAACAATGCATCAGTTTCAAACCTGGTGATCGGGTTCAAACATACAACCTTACCCAGTGGAGGTTTGAGACCAATAGGAAAACGCAAAAAGAAGAGACGAGACCTCCTGACCCATAGGCCTCTCACTGCCCATAAACACCATAGTTTGCCACAAATCTGCCCTAAATATTTGCCTGTGTATCACAACTATATGTATGAGCTGTAGTATTTTGTGCTGTATGTTTTTACAGTAACAATATGAACCAGATATTCTCTGCACTTTATCCAGTACTGTCCATCCTCTCAGTAGTCCTCCAGTGTGGTACCACAAAATAAACAGTCCAGTGATGAAATAAGTGCTCATTCCAGCTCCTAATGCTCAATACTAACAGTCTCATAGTTAAGTTGAAGTTATGGTGTAACTGATTTTTCAAGCAAAACACACACTCCAAAGGCAAATCTTGCTCCATGCACCTTAACGCACACACAAAATCCCAGACAAAGGTATGGAGTCATTTCTTCTGAGGGTTGAAAATAACTGTTTTGTCTGAGAATTTTTAGGAAGCGGCTGTTATCAAAAAGACTCTGTCAGTCTTTGATCTGTGTTTGTTCCTCTTTAGACAGATGCCTGTGCTGCTAAAAATAAAACCCTGCAGTGGTTTTATACACCTGGGTTCTGACCAAGTTCATACACCAATTTAACAAAAACAAACCAATGTATGTCCAAAACATCACTTTATGTTTCTAGCTTTCCCTTCACGTTCACTAGTTTGGATGAGACATGCGGTGACTGTGATTTTACACCACGAAGAAATACCAAGTTAATTTGACGGGATTTTCATCAAATCAGCCGTTCAGCAGTTACAGGCTCTTTTTCACAGCGGACATTTTGACTTGAAGGAGAAGCACAGGTGTTAGCTACTAATCACATTAATGATGGCTCTGTAGTATTGTTATGTCTCAGTAAGCCACATCAGTGTGACAGTGAGCCAACATGCACAACATACCAGGACCCTGAAACTCAAGCAGCTAAACTGAATTAAGACATTATTGATGTAATTATTTGCACATGTGCTGTTATTACTGTGGCATGTTAAAATGTTTTCAGTGAGTATCAGTGTATCTAAAGGCCCCATCACTTGATTTACTTTAAGTTCTGCCACTCCAGATTTCTTACTAATTTTCATGTGCCAAAAGTCACATATCCCAAAATACCTTTAATGCATTCAGGGTATTGAGAAGTTATTTATTACATACTGATAGAGTTGCAGTAATGATGCCTTATGAGGAGACGCAAAGACAAGCACAATAAGACTCAAATATTAGATTTTTAGATATATTTTTTTACTATTGAACTAACATGATCTTTTGGTGTGGATATTTAGTTTCTTTCTTTTTTTCTTTCTTTCCTTTTTTTCCCTTTTTTCCTCAAAAAAGCGCAAATAATCTGCAGTCCAATCATTCCCAGCGTCCTGGGAGCAGCCTGCCCCTCCCGTGTTACAAATACCTGGGAACTCTGTTAAATGCTTCGATCGGACAGTGTTTACTCTAATTCTCTCCATTCAAGGCGTCTGTGGTCCAAGAATAGCCTCTGCTTGGATAGTCAGTGCTTAAAACGCCGGGGCTGCGGGGAAGGAAGTGACATGCTACCTTCCACTCACTACACAGACTTGGAGAGATTAGCGCGCAGGCAGCAGTAATCTGGTTTCAGGACCACGGCCAGAGACACCGTTTGGCCATGAATCCTGTCGAAAGTTGCATCCAGCTCCCTGCGAACCTTACCGGACACCGCCGGGTGTGAAGAAGTTCACTTGGACATTAAGGACTCTGACAAAGTGGAACTGACAATGTTTGTTCAGTTCATTTTACATAAAGGAGGTTGAAGCAAGTTAAATCTCTGGAAAATCCGTGTCGCTGGCAACAGATTCCGCTGCACAGGAACCTGCGGGGTTAAGGGAGTCCGGTAATCAAGTAAAATTAGTTGTTTTTTTTTTTTATGTGTGAGTGAGAAAGACGAGGCGGAGGGAGCAGAGGAGAAGGCTGTGCGCTCAGGCGGGAGCGCGCAAACACTGCACATTGGTCGGATCCTGGAGTCGTGAGGATGGAGATCCGGCCGGACAGGTTTAAGGCCGTGGCAGCCAAGACTCTGGGGAAAATATACGGGTATGTAAAGTTCCTCTGGGACCCATTACAACCAGAAAATATTGAAACGCAGAAATGGCTGCAGGCTTAATTTCCCTTTTGAGTAAAAAAAAGAAAAGAAAAAAAAGAAAGTTCATCTTTTGCCGTCAAGGCCACTGATGGGGGCAGTGTTTACATATAAATGTGATTTTAAATTGAAAGAGAAGCAAAGGACTCCTTTACAGATCAACATGATTAGTGTAGGGTTGGATGACCTGGCACATCTGTCTCTCTATAGGCTGCTGAATCTATCTCATAAGAAACGGGCATACATAATTTATCACTTTATATGCAACTGCAGTCTTTAGATAGCAGATACAAAAAGTTACAAATACTTTGTCTGAGCGCACAAAATGAAACCTAAAATTAGTCTGTTTCACGTGCAGAGATAAGTGAATTATCCTCTTTTGCTTCTGAAGCACAAAAACAGAATTAAGTTTCATTTCAGACCTAAACTGCTCTATCAGTGTAAGATGAAGCGCTGGATCAATAACCAGATTCATTTCTTCCCGGCTTTTTTTTTTTTTTTTTTGCAGTGCTGTCCCATTGTCAAACTGCAGAAGCCTCCACTTTTATGTGGCTGTTTATCTGGAGCTCCATGTTTGAGCAATCAAGCAACGTGTTTCAGTTTCTAACATACACACAGTATGTTTTTGCTAACGTGATGACTGTGTGTGATTGGCCTGTGAGGTTTCTCTCTGCGGCCTGTCATTCTGACACACCTGCCACTATGTGACAGTAAGCTTAGGACGACTTTCAGTAACCCTCACTCTAGTAAAGGCTCCTTTGGAGTGTGGGGCAGATATTAACAGAGCACGCAGACATGTGGTGATGGACTGGGGACGTGGATCAAGCTCGGGATGTGGCAGGAAATCTGACACTTTTTGACATGATGGTATTTCAGACATGCACAAAGAATTCCTGTGTGACTTTTCGACAGCTTCCACACATCTAGTCTGAAAGCTGCAAAAAAAAAAAAATCGCGTGACACACCTTGCACAGCTGAGAAAAGGTGTGTGGGGTAGTCAGGCCAGTGATGGCTATCTGAAAGCAGGAAGGTATTGATGGACTCCCCTTCCCCTCTGTCGGGATTTGATGTAGCGTCTAAACACTTAAATCCTCTCCAGAAATAGCCTCTGCTCGTCCAAGCTGTCGGCCCATGTAAATCCCTGCAGGCCGTACACCTTGGCCACATCTCTCCCTCCACCTAAGTAGCCCGATAGCTCGTCATAGTGCCCCCCCTCCGCTCCCTCCCTCCCACCCACCTCCACTCCACTCAGGGCATCTCACAGCCAGGATTAGGCCACGGCACAGAGCCCGCAGCTGCCTTCGTTTCCGTGGAGCGCACGTGCCCAGGTGCTCCCTCGGTACCTTTGCCGCCGCGCATGACGCGCATGACGCGCACGAGGCCCGCTCCCGGGTTCCCGCTCCGCACGCAACTTCAACCCACACACAGAGAACTAGACAGACAGATCACTGTGTATTATTTATTGCCGGGTGTTTTATTGAAAGGATGGAGCTGACTCCATATCTATTTTTACCCAGTTCTATTCTCAGCAATATGTACAGCCCTCAGTGAATTCACTCTCAGATCACAGCAGCCAGTTTTCACCTGCAGCTGTGAATCAAGATGAAGACAACAAGAGACGTGATTTCACTGATGTAGAGGCAGCTGACAGTCTCCCGTTATCCCTTCATTAAACATCAAGCAGTGCCTCTTCCCTGTTTATTCCTGAATCCCTCACTTAAATCAACAGCTCCAACTATTGTTTCTGATCCCCAATATCAGAGGGCTGAACAAATATGACTGACATGTGAGCCGAGTATAAAAATGTTGAACTGAAGTGTATGCTTTGCTGTATTTCTCACAATTGAATTCACAGTATCTATCTAATGACAATGAAATCAAAAATGCACTCAGTTTACGTGCTTTCGGTGCACGCCCACACTTTGTGCTGCTAGACCGAGTTCAGTAGGTCCTGCTTACTGGTGTCATGAAGAACCTTTCAGCCTTTCATACAATCTGCACCAGTTATTTGACTCTCTCTTATCCAATCAATGATTCCAAGCTGTTGACTCGACTCTGAAACCAAGCTGCTGAACTGCCCTGACATTTGTCCTTGACGTATGAATTAAGAGATTAACTTGGAGAGAGAACCGAGAATATTCACTCGGCAGGAGAGGTGATGTGAATTCAGCGTTCTTACGTGTTGTCAAGATTCAAAACTAAGCTTTTCTCTCACTGAATTCAATCGCTTCACACAAGCAAACCGGACCTTTCCTCATGGTGTGACGAGAGCAAGGGGGAGAAGGTCAGGTAGCTCGTGAGGATTACAACGGATTTTCCTTAACTCAGGGTCAGTCATGAAAAGTCACTGCAGCAGATTCAGTGTGTAGTAAAACAAAATAAAAGAACGAAAAACAAGAAACAAGAAAAACAAGCGTGTACTGTATTGCAGAGAAATTAAACTACACACGGAACATCCTCTGGACACTGGGAAAATAAATTGGTGTTGAAGGAGGAGGAAATGTTGTGAATTGTGTGCGAGACTATGCGTGAGTCAGGGGAGCTGATTGTAAAAAGGCAGGGTTAAAGATAAAGAGGAGACAGGAGGAATGAAGAGAGAGGCCCGCCCAGACAAAAATAGTCCGAGAGAGTCAGAGATATTAATAATTCAAGATGGAGAATCATTAATACTTGATCAGTGTTGAAGACTGTTAGATTCCCTGCTTACAGTAACTAATAGAGCATGTATGTTTTATTATTGCGTCTACTTACTGTTGGAGTTTTTAGCTGACTACTCTGAACAGATTTATTGGCAGGAACATAAAGTCTTCCTGTCACTCAATATTTTCATGCCACTTCACGTCTCTGCAGAAAGTACATCTTATAAAACCAGAGCGCCGCGATAATGGTTATATAAAGATTTTTTTTTCATCCGGCGCTCTTTTCCTGGTATTTCAGAAATGGGATTGTCCTAGTGACTTGACAGAGCCAAAACATTTTAGTTTGAGATTTTTAGGGTATGGAGAAGAAGTCCCACACAGCTAACAGGAGAAACCTTCATGGGCCTACACATTATGTATGTAGGATGTATAAAGGCTTGTGTCCCAAGTTAAATGTGCTTTTAATGTCGTAGATCATCTATGCATAAGACACTTCCTGTCAAATCAAGGAACTCTGGGGTGCACGGTGACCCAGTGGTCCACAGTGGATTAAATCTGGTTAAGGGGTCTTTGTCACCTGTCCCCCTCTCTCCTGATGTTTCCTGTCTCTTACAATACACAGTACAAGGTAATATAGTTCTGATATGTCACTAGTAACGTTTATAAAATCAATTTATAGCAATGTCAAGAGGAAGAGGGACTTGCATTTGCCAGTGTACTGTAAAAGATGGATAACAGCAGCTAAGCTATGTATGAAAATATAATATTAGCAATGATAAATAGATCTTGCACTGGGGACTACCAGACTCTACTAAATTCTTTAACAATCAATTCAAATCTTTTCAGGTGTGTGCTGTTTGCTGTACAGTGAGTTTGCAGTTTCAACACCTCGCTCACCCCTTCAGTCAAAACAACAATCTGTTTCACTGCAGCTACATTTACCACAGTGATGTATAAAACATGGCAGCCAATTCAGTTCAATAGAAGCTGCTCACCCAGCACATATCTCAAAAGAGTTATCTATCACTATATGTATTTGGCATGTGCATTATTATTGCTGTTGCTGGCTCTAACTCCTCAAACACACATTTAAGACATGGAAACAATGGCTCCTGCTGGTTTTTGTATGTATTGATCTTAATGATTTAAACTGTGATGAGGGATTTTTGCGTTGGCCTACTGTAGAGTTAACATTGTCTAATTTGTGTCTGTGTGTTTTTCACAGGGGAACTGATAAATATTTGTCAGATTCCATATATTTATATGATGTACAGCTGTGTAGCATCAAGCATCCAGGCTGTACTTGCTCTGCCAGGTAGAGATTTTCATCCCAACCAAGATGAATGTTCACAATGGCCACTGCGGGCGTACTCTGTTATTAATGGGGTGCCCTGGTGGTGCAGTCGGCTAAGAATCTTATTACACTTAAAATGCCGTTCTAGCCCACGATCTCCGTCCCATTTCATCTCCTTCTGTCCTGTACAACCAGATGTCAAATGAAGTCATCTATAAAATACAACCCCATCCCCAAAAAGCTTCATACCCTGCACTGTTGGGTGTTATATTTTGGCTAAAAACGACATGGCTGAGTATACTGATATGTTTTGCCTAAGCACAACTAGCTCACGTACTGTATGTATAATTATATTTACCAGACAAAAGCAATAGGAATTGCAAAAGGATTCTGTGCTGCATCGTCTGAACCTGCAGTTCTCAAGTCTGATCTAAGAGCTCAGCGCTGCACATTTCATGTTTAATAGATTATCCGCTGAGTTTAGATACATATTTGATGCCTGTTAGACTGGAGGCTTGCAGAGGTCATGGTTTCTCAAGGTTTTTCAGCAAGCCACATGAACATAGGTTACAGAAAGGAGCAGAAAGAGAGTAGGTAACCTTGTTTGGAGGGAGCAGAGAAGCATGGATGCACCAGGAGGAGACAGGTTTCTGTGAACACTGTTGTCTTACTCACACTGCATTCCTCACTGTCAGGCAGTTCAGTCGGGAGATGAATGCCTGCAACACAAAAATACCCGGTATATTAACACCTTGAGAAGACAAGATAAGTCAGAGTTAGCAAGCTCCGGTGGAAGTAGGCTGACAGGCAACTGTGCTGACTGTGTCTTGTTAAGATGCTGGAGTTACCAGGCAAATTGACAGCCAGAAAGATTGTCTGAACATCTAGATCCAAGCCAAGCTGTCTGAGCACGATCTGTTGTCACTGTGGTAACCAGAGTTTAGAAAACCTGGGGCAGATCTGTCACTGACTGACTATTCTTACAGAAAATCCCTAGTACAGAAACCTAGGAGTAAACTAAATGTTAAGGTTTGTCTTTTTAAGGAATCAATTATTGTTATATTTGTTCTGTTTTTTTCCTGTCATCTGACACACCTTTGAATAGCTACACTGATATATGGTTATTTCTGAAATGTTTAATTTTACATCAAGCAGCCTTTTGGTGTGAATTGTCAAAAGCTGTCTCTGCAAAACTATCTAAATAGGTAGTTGCTAAGGGGCTGATTGGTTCTCCAGACAACCACATCACACCATCATAAGCTGACAGAAGAGAAATGCTAAGATTTAGGCAATATGAAAATTTTCTTCTTACTATGTACTTCTTGAAAAACAGATTCACTAGTTCACTAAACTATGACTTTATTGTATTCATATTTATGATACAGGACCAAGTGGTCTAGGATTCCATACAGGCTAGAGTCTAAATCCTCTAATCATCTAGTCTAAATCACTTCTTACTAACAGGGGCTATAGTTAACATGCAACATTCTTCATTCCCTCACTTTTCCACACTCTTCTTTACAGAGTTCTTGAGAAGAAGCAGGAAAATGGCGAGACAATTGAGCTGTCGGCAGAGGGCCGGCCGGAGATGGTGGAGGAAAAGGAGATGCCCGTGGTGGACTGCACATGCTTCGGCCTGCCCAGGCGCTACATCATCGCCATCCTCTCCGGTTTGGGCTTCTGCATCTCCTTTGGAATCCGATGTAACTTGGGTGTGGCCATCGTCAGCATGGTCAACAGCCACACCATCTACAGAGACAACAAGGAGGTCATAGTGGTGAGTGGCCATGGTGTGGGGCTGTTTTTATTATAATGGAAATTTAAATTTTATTTAAGACAAATGTGCTTCGAGCACTGTGTATGAGTTTAGGGAAGATCCTTTCCTGTTTCAGAGCAAGATCCATGGAGAAATGTTTGCAGTGTGACAGTTTTATTATGTTACAAATCTTTGTTGATGGTGGAAATGGAAACGGGCAGGTCAAACAAAGGACTGACTCATCATAAAACATGTCAGTCAGTGTTGCTCAGTATATTTTATAGGAATATTGATGATGGGTCAAGGTGTTTTCACTGGAGGTCAACCATATCCCCTCAGAGGACCATGAATCAATCACATCAATTTATCTTGTATAGATAGTTTGTCCATCTCCGTGCACTGCAGTGATCAAACTCTCATTCAAGTTCATGTGCAGTTTTCTCATGTGGTTGTCTTCCTGCTTGTCCCAACAGAAAGCTCAATTTGACTGGGATCCAGAAACAGTGGGAATGATCCATGGTTCCTTCTTCTGGGGATACATAGTAACCCAAATTCCAGGAGGGTTCATTTGTCAAAAGTTTGCAGCCAACAGGTCTGTTACTCCACTGTTTATTGTATGCGAGGGATAATTGCACATTCTTCTATACATACTGAATGTCTCCTCCTTTCTCTATTCTTCCCTCTTCCAGAGTGTTTGGTTTTGCTATCGTGGCCACATCTTGCCTGAATATGCTTATCCCCACGGCAGCCCGGATGCACTTTGGCTGTGTTATCATTGTCAGGGTGTTTCAAGGACTTGTGGAGGTGTCTTGTCTATAACTTCATCTTAAACACAAGAAATGGGCAACATAGAAAGACTTTACATTTTATTTAGAACATTCATCATAGTGTAACTTCTTCCCTTTTCTACAGGGAGTCTCATATCCTGCCTGTCACGGTATTTGGGCAAAATGGGCACCACCACTTGAAAGAAGTCGCCTGGCCACAACAGCCTTTTGTGGTGAGTCTCTTATAATTGTCCATGTTTCTCTGTCTTTGAATGATGGATGTTTGATGTTTCCCTTTAAGAAACCCTTTGGCAGCTTGTTTAATACATAAACTGTATATAAAGATGGACGTAGCCTCCATGATGTCACCCATAGGTTTCTGAAGAGGGTGGGCTGCTCCACCATTGCCATCTTGGCAGTGTCTGACTGCACCTAACTACGGGTTAATCCAAAAATGGGCAAAGAGGCGGGGTGTTTGTGGAGCTGACACTAAGGTGCATGCCGGTCTGTGGCATGCATACGCTCACCCACCTGTCACTCAAAATGGCACACCTTCAATTATGTTTAACTTTAAGTCTTTATAGAGACCAAACCCATTTTTTGTACCAGGTTTGAAACATGTTTATTTCTGCTGTAAAGTTGGGCATTTTAATATGAAAGTCTATGGGGATTGACTCTCTAGCTTCCAGTGGTAATTTAAGGAACTGCAGTTTTGGCTTCATTTTCTTGGAGGTTGCTACTTGGTTTAATACCCACAATATTTCTTTGTTTCCTAGGTTCTTATGCTGGCGCTGTGATTGCCATGCCGTTAGCTGGAATCCTAGTCCAGTACTCAGGATGGTCATCAGTCTTCTATGTCTACGGTAATGACCCTTGACATTAGGCTGACAGCGAACAAAATAAAACAGCCAGCTTTTACAGTAATCTTGCTTTCCAACCCCTTCAAATTGAAATGTGGGCTGAGTATTTATCTTAATATTCTTTAAAAAGTTGAACTAGAATTTTCGAGGGAAATTACACATTATCTTTCAGTGAAATACAAAACAGTGTGACTGTTGCCATTATAAGCATGACAACAGTCTTCTCAATAGTTGCGTAAGCACACCCATCACTGTGCAGAGCATTCAGTGAGACAGCAGATGCTGACACATACTGAGGTTGAAAGGACAAAAACACCGCAAAAGGCCAGCACCATAAATATGAGAAAAGAAAAAGACCCATTATGTATGAATTCTAAATTTAATCCCAGTCTGTACATAGGCAGCAGTTATAGTCAGTGTCTCATTGGCAGCTTGTTCTTTTTAACCTTTCTTCAGGCTTTGACACTTACACTACTCTTTTTCTTTCCCCTGCCTGTTTGCCTGCCTGCCTTCCTTCCTCCCCAGGAAGTTTTGGGATCGCGTGGTACTGCTTCTGGATCCTGGTGTCTTATGAAAGTCCAGCAGTCCATCCCACCATCACTGATGAGGAGAGGAAATACATTGAGGACAGCATTGGCGAGACGGCCCAATTTACAGTAACGGTCAGTGCACTAAATAGATTTCCTATGGTAGAGTATGACTCAGAAACTGTATCACATCAAATTGGCTGATGTGAACAGTGACATGTGGCCTGCCACATCATTTACATTTCCTTCAAGTCAGGGTGTAGAGTTCGCAATATGACTATGCTGGTACTTTTTTTGTATAACGCAAAATGTTAAGATAAGCATAAAGTCACATGTACAATGATGTTAAACAAGCAAAGTGAGAGCAACAAAGAGGTCGGCATGGGTGTACTTCAAGAGGGTGTCAAACTTTATCACAAGCCCATTCTAAGATACCTGGAGTACTTTATCAAAATAAAAGCACCACAGACAGATTCAGAAACTCCTTATCAGTAGTAACCTCTGCTCATTTGTATCTACATTCAAGCGAAACTAACCCATTTACTCCACCCAACTTCTTACTGACCACAACGTTCTGGATGCTTGTTTTGTAAAGTAAACCTCAAATACAACAAATTGGTGATTAATTCAGGCAAACAACACATTTTATGTACATTTATTTATTGTGAAATGGCTCAGGGGTTGTAGAATTTGGTTATAAAATCAGTGAAGTTATAACACTATAATAATAATATAATTATACACACATTTATATACACATTTTTCTGTTTTACAGAAATTCAACACACCATGGAGGGCGTTCTTCACGTCCATGCCAGTGTACGCCATCATCGTGGCTAATTTCTGCAGAAGCTGGACTTTCTACTTGCTTCTCATCAGCCAGCCCGCGTACTTCGAGGAGGTGTTTGGATTTGAGATTAGCAAGGTAAAAGAAATCTGATGTGGACAGTGGGATAATGGTGTTTTAGGGCACCAGGAACAAGAGGTTCCATACGTACAATATCATGATACTGTACAAAGTCTGCTTTCGATATTCACTGTGGTGAAAATCCCCCTCTCTTATCTAGGTGGGCATTGTTTCCGCACTTCCCCATCTGGTTATGACCATCATTGTGCCCATTGGTGGCCAGCTTGCCGACTATCTGCGCTCCAACCACATCATGAGCACCACTAACGTTAGGAAACTTATGAACTGTGGAGGTAAGACAGAACTGAAATGAAGGGAAAGCAAAATGACACTTTTACCGTCTTTTCTGGATGTGATTTGGAAATTTTTCTAAGTTCCCCCCAGTTTACGGTAAGAAGACTCAGTCATGTGAACCTGACAACCAGTACAGTAACACACTGGCTTGTTATACTGTTTACTCACATACAGTATTTTAGCTGTGGTTTGAAAATGTTTGTCACATCAGGCAAATGATGATTCAGCATAAAGCAAAAGCTCTGCCTATGCTATTTTTAAACTTCGATAGGGAAGTGAAATTAAAGCATAAAGTGTACATATCCTTTTATTGGTTACTGAATGCATATTTAGGATACTGTTCAGTCAACAAAATTTTATGAAAAGAGAAGAGGAAAAGCACAAATAAAATGGCCTTCAGTTGACTTAAATAGGCATCTTGCACTGAGACACATTTAACTCTTTCTTTGTTGGTTTCTGTGATATGATATGCTACTGTTCTCCATCAGGGTTTGGGATGGAGGCAACTCTGCTGCTGGTGGTGGGCTTCTCTCATACAAAAGGTGTTGCCATTACATTCCTGGTTCTGGCTGTGGGTTTCTCTGGCTTTGCCATTTCAGGTAAAAGCATAAGTCTAGTTATTCTTTAATCCCCCTTTCTAATATGGAGTATAATGTGTTCCTTAAAACCTTTTGCCCACAAATATTAATAGAGTTTGGACATGTGGTGCTATTTATTGTAGTCATGAATAAAATATATGATTCTAAAAATATTTATTCTTCCTCATAAGGTTTCAATGTAAACCACCTGGACATTGCACCCCGATACGCTAGCATTCTCATGGGCATCTCCAACGGTGTGGGCACTTTATCTGGTATGGTTTGCCCACTTATAGTTGGTGCCATGACGAAGCACAAGGTGAGAACTGATTCTAAATAGCTGCGATTCTCTAACTCGTACAATGTGTGTTTGTTAGGACAGTCAGCATCAACTTAGTTAAATTGCAGAAAGTAGCACAGTATGTATGATATTGTATACTGACACAATACACTCTAAAACACTGTATTGTATTTCTGTTTTTATTATCTTGTCTTTCGGTGTTTGGTCATAGAAAATATTTATAAAACAAAGGCAGAGCTGTCACTTCCTCATAAAGACTTCTTTTTAATTTGGCCATTTTGTATTTGCAAATTTAATTTTGCACTCTAAGTAGCTTGATAGACCAGATGTGCATTTATAAAACACAGTGCATGTGCAAACCTCTCTTTGACTGTTTTGATTTAATGCATGAATATGTTTTTAACTGTCAAGTATCATTAGAAAGTGAAACACAATTTTTTCATGCTTTTAACCATAAGGTCTCTTTTGCTCTTTTCACTCTTCTTTGATAGACCCGAGAGGAGTGGCAGGGTGTGTTTCTCATTGCCTCACTTGTTCATTACGGAGGTGTTATATTCTATGGTATGTCTTTTAATTTCAAAATGTTCCACTCAATCTTCATCAGAGTATTAAGATGTTTCAATATGCATCATTCTGTGAGTTGTTCTTAATGCAATTGAACTTGTTGTCAGCTCTGTTGCAAGTCTGAATAATATTTTACCAAAAGTCTGATTGTGTGTGTGGCTTTGCTGCAGGCCTTTTTGCATCTGGAGAGCAGCAAGCTTGGGCCGAGCCAGAGCAGCTGAGTGATGAGAAATGTGGCATCCTGGATGAGGATGAGCTTGCAAATGAGACAGAGGAGCTGTATCGCACAAGTGGCGGAGCAGGCTACGGAGCGATGAACCAGGGAGCAGATCCCAATGGAGGCGGAGGCGTGGGAGGAGGAGGAGGAGGCTGGGTCTCAGACTGGGACAAAACTGAGGAGTACGTACAACCAGCCGGAACCAATAATTACCTTTATGGAGTACAGGGGGACCGAGAGCTAACATAAAAGCGGCAGACCCTCTGCACATAGCCTTTAGTGAGGCAGAAACAGTACATCAACAGTGTGAAGTTTCACCTGATGGCGTGGAGAACTAAAAGTGCGGATTTAAAACGGAAGGCGGGAAGGGACAATTTTCAGCAAGTCTGACTATATTAACATAACTGAACTGAATTCAAAGAGACTGCACAGTGGAGGTGAAGACATTAGTAAATGTAAAATGTGTGTTTGTGTGTGATTGCAGTTGTGTACCCTGTGTGACAATCTAAGTAAGAGTGTTTTAGGACCCGTCAGCCTCCTCTGTAATATCTGTTGGAGAAGGGCTGTGTTTTAGGCCTGGTGTGGCTTTCTGTGATGTTCATTCATTGTAATAACTGTAGAAATTTCTATATTGATTTGGATTTAATTAGTATGTCTCTCATTTATATTTGAGTCAGTCCAGATTACAAATCTTTAGGCGCACATTGGTCAAAAGCGCATTTCTTTTGTTCGATGAAAACGTGTTAAATTTGTTTAACTGGTTTTTAAAAAAGTTGCGTAAATGGTTGTAGAGTTTCTGCAACCCATAGCAGAGTACGCACCTCCATTTAAGTTAAAGTTTTGTCCTTAATGTGCACACTTTTAAGGAAAAGCATGTTACTTGTGCCAATACAACAAAAATATTTTGCTCTTTAGTATTGGTTTACTTATCCACTGAGAAAGTAATTGAACACCTACAAATATTACTGTTTTCTGTTAAGTCTAAATAGCCCAATACTGACATTTTTAGATGCAGCATTTTGATTTCCTTGTGTAAAAATGTTTCATGTGCTGGGCCTCTAACCTGTCTGCCTGCTGACAAACTGGGGAATTAAAATGCCTCGTATAGGACTACAGGGAATGTCATTATCCAGGGTAATAACAATCCTATATTAAATTAGTTTCTTAGTTTGGAGCTATGTTTATTGCTATTAGGTCTCTGTTTCCTTCCAAATCCAAGATCTGAATTTTGTTCATTATGCTTTACATGTAATATATGCTTCATTAATGTTATGTTATATTGTTGTCAGACAGTTAATGCTTTAAGTGTTAACGGGCAAGTCATTCTGCTCTCACTGTATTCATAACCTGTGAACACTAACACATGCCAGTCACCGATTTCTGTCACAGTTTCAAGGCTGTGAACCGAAGCTGTTGTTTGATGCCAGTAATGTAGCGTATGTCAAGATGAATGTGCAGATAAAAAGGGACTGTCACTCTTATAAAGCCACCACATGCAGTACATCTTGGCCAATCTCATTAGAAGGTGTGATATCCGTTTGCTTTACTCTATAGTCAGACAAGCTGAAGATATGTGAAATGATCAGTAAACTAAAGACCAATTAAACATAATGGACAACATAACAATGAAATTTCACTGTACATGAGCAATTTGTTTTATTTTTGTTTGTAGGTGTTGTAATGTATCTAGCTAGTCCCCAAATTTAAGGTTTAAAATAAAAGAATATCTCTGTGTTAGGTCATGGGATTATATCACTTTGGCTGATACAGTTTCAATTATTTGGAGTTCACTAATAGATTATATATTAAATGTTAGGGTTTTTACTGTTTTGTCATTTTTCATTAATTTATTGTTTAATGTTTTGTTCTGGGTTATAAACTAAAACTGTAAATGTAAAAATAATGTACATGTGGAAAATTGTATAATAAAACCTAGAGGTGATTATTCCTGTACTATCATTATAAATATTGTTTACAATATACTTATGTACTACTCCCATTAATATTATTTGACTTTAGGTGGCACATAAATTATCTTGCTATGAATAAGTGATTACAGTTGAGTGTTACATTTTTGATCAGCTTTTTAAAGAAATGACAGCAACTGTTTTGCTTTGTCCGAGCCAACTTTCCTCTGCTTCATCAAGATTCTGGCACTAACAATGTAGGTTTCATGTTACCCATAATGCGGCACTCCTCTCCAGACAGCGTATCGATCACTGAGCTAAAGTATAAGAGCATGGAAATGAAGAAGAAAAATAGATTTTGGTTGCACCAGAACAAAGGGCTCACCAGTTTCCCTCAACCTGTAATAAGCACTGAGGCTCAGGGACTCACCCTCACTGTCCTGCTCTGGTCTCTGAAATCAATGGGATTATCCTACATCCATCTGTCGGTGAGAGAACAAGTGAGAAAGGGAGGGAGAAAGATATTCATTGCTGATATCTAATTATACTGCAGCAATTTGCTTCCTTGTTCCTTGGGATTTGTTTGTACCAGCATCATGTTGCAAGATGTGCATTGGGGCAAAGAAAGGGGCAGAAGAGAGCAGGATGAACGAGGGAAAGGAGGGCAGAAGAGGGATTAGAACAAACTGTGGACTTAATGGGCCAACATTAGCTTTCTATAACAAATCTAATTGTGGGCCGCCAGTATCCACCGTGGCTGGAATGTGGTTTCTTCTACAGCCACAGCATAACGACATTTTATAAATGCTGCAATGTAATTTATTTTCTGGACATTTTTATTATAGTTATTTAATTTTTATGTTGTTGTTTTTAATAGATCTATTTCCCACTATGTGACCTAATAATGATGTGAACCTAATAACTAACAATTTCCCAATTTGAAAAGTGTAATAATTAGTTGAGAAATGTTACCCCTGGTGTAGTTGTTGGGGCTTTTGCCTCCCCATTAAAAAAGGTTAGAATAAGATCTTGTTGTAAAGATAATGAATATCATCAGGTAAATATTCACTATCAGCAAGTTGAGCCTATAAATAATGTTACTCTAGTTCTAGCCTTCAAAAACCCTTAAAGCATGGTGTCACAATATAACCACTGTTTCTTCCATTTCCTCGCTTTTAATATGGTCCATGTTCCACAAAAACCAGTTGACTTCATTGTGTTATTCAGGCCAATACAGTGAACGTTACTGTCCATTAATATTAGCTAGCTAGCTGGCTAGCTAATGATATTGCATGCGTCTTAGTGCATGTAACCTACCTGTGCACGGGTACACGGGTCCCTTCCCACATTTATAAACACAGAGGAACCGCCCACAGGTGATATAGCACACTGCAGTGTGCACAGTTCACAATTTCCCTCACTGAACAAGCCCCTTTTTCTCTAGGCCAGTGCACATGTTGATTGACCATGAGTACTACCAGCTGGTGGCCCATCAAAACAACCGTTAAGTTTTTTTTAATTTTTTTTTAGCGATTCCATAAGTGTCCTTACCTGCTCAGTGTCCTTACCTGCTCAGTGTCTTTGTGTGGCTGGTCCCTGCGGAAGTCCAAGGTTGAATTTCTTTCACAGTCCGACCGTGGAGCCAATACTGGTCTGGCTTTACTGGGATGGAAAGCCCCACGAGTGTCCTCCAGCTGGACCTGGAGCTGGCTTTTCTTCTCTTCAATGTGTAAGTAACTTGACGGATACATAATGTTACTTGTCTGTCTTCATTAGTGACCAGCCACAAGAAGACATGCTAACGTTAGCTCACTTGCTGTTATCGATATCATGAATGTGTTCGGCAAATGTCGCTATCGCTAGCTTGCTAACTGTTAGCATTGCTGTGTAGCATATCATGGCGATGCTAGCGTGGGCCACTGACGGCGGCTAGATTGTTTTTTGGTGGCTTTCGTGTTCATAAAGTAACTTTATTCATCTGTACCTCTTGTGTGTTTAGTGGTCGCTGTCACTGGGCTTCGTCACACTTTGCTAATTGAGAACTTGAAGAGGGGGTGGGGGCCGACGAAGCATTTGTCTTGGTCCGAGATGTTGGGGGTCTAGTGCGACATTTAGGGGCAGCGACGGTCGTTAAGAGAACCGTTGAAGATATCATGTGTGATGACCCTGAAACTTTCATCAGCATTCATTCATTGTACATAATTTCACCATATCTTCACCTAAATGTTGTGATTTAAGTGATTGTAAACAAAACAAAAACAACTGATTTTAAATAAGAGTTGTTTTATTTTAGCATACAAAATACAACAGCCAAAATCTAAAATCACAGCATTCGCACTACAAATGATCTACAAGTTGATAGCTTAGGTTTAGCATACACACTGTGATATAATGTACATTAACATTTTAATGCAAAAAGAACAAGATACAATGTTGTGCAATTTCTTATGTACAAACAACTCATTACACAAAATGTTGATAAAGCTAATACTTTTTGAGATGCAAAAATCCCGTCATGATATTATCACCCATATCTGTATAAATGACACAGTATGACTTCACAAGGGAACAAAAGCAAAATGCATTTTCTGTTTTGGTTATCTGTGATTGCATTTACATTTTACAGAATAATATGTGTAGTTAATATGGTTAATATAATTATTAAGTAATGGCAACAATTGCTAGTTGCTGAACTATCCAACATACAGAATCTTCTTTATTGTCTTACTGGAATTTTTGCTCTTTCTTAACCTGATTTTTGTCATTAGGTCAAAACCTCACTTCTGGCTTCTATCTGTCTCTATTATTTAAAATATTTTATACAAATATGTGTGGTTTTCCTTATACTGTAAGTCTGATGTAGATTTGCCTTTAGATCTATATCCCATCATTTGGTAGTTACTTGAAAGTTATTTAAATTTCCCATACACCACTGACATGTAGTGTATGTTACACTTTTGTCTAATCATAGAATTTGAACTTGAGAACTGAGACGTCACCTGACTTGGCTGGTTTGGAGAAATGTAATTTTTCTTTAGCATACAAGCTACTCTCTTACCTCCTTCTTGCCCTCACTGTCTCATATCATTTGTCTTTGTCTTTATTCTCTGCTATTTCTTCTCCTTCCTGTCCTGCACCTGCCCCCTCTCCCAGAGTATTGTATACCCCCTCTTTCATCCCCTCTTTCTTTAGTGCTTCATATCCTCCCTCACCTCTTGCTGCCCCCTCTTCTCCCAAGCTGTGGTATACCCCCTCTTTCATCCCCTCTTTCTTCAGTGCTTCGTATCCTCCATCTCCTCTTGCTGCCCCCTCTGCTCCCAAGCTGTGGTATACCCCCTCTTTCATTTCCTCTTTTTTCAGTGCTTCATATTCACCACCTTTCTTCTCCCTGCCTGGTGCCTGTGGGTGAAGGGTATCATACTCGGCCTCCCTTTTGGCACCATGTCCCTTCTGCAGGACATCATATCTGTTATCACCTGCATCTCGTGAACTCAGAGCCACATCCTCATAAATTGGGCCTAAAAGAAAAACAGGTGATATGTGATGATTTGTATAATCAGTGGCCTTCAATGTGTCATCAAAAAGTAGAAAACAAGAAGTAGTCACTTACTTGCAGTATTTCTCTTCTTACGTTGATAATAAAGTGCTAAACCTATCACCACGGCCAGCATGCCCACCACCACCAGGCAGATGGCAATGACGGCTGGGTTTGAATTGTTGGTCTGAACTGAAATTGAGATAAAGCATATGTATTATATCATAACTGTATGTGACCCAGTGGTGGTTCATATTAGTTCACTTCTCATTATCAGTATTTATCAGTATAAAGGAAGGTAAGATGACCCTGACAACACCATCAGGGTTATTTTTTTCACACTTTGGTAGCAGAAGACATTATGCTTCATATCCCACAGGCTGAGTAGTACTGTTCATGACGAATAAACTGCTCTTAATGTATATGTCAAGAGAAACAATGTCAATGTCCATTAGAAAGAAGAAAAGCCGAAACTCACAATTGTAAGAGTTGCTGAGAGCAGACCTCATGTTGTTCCACACAGCTTTACAAGCATAAGTACCACGCTTTTGTGGTGTCATGTCGCTTGATGGTGAACCTGTAAGTCCCCATGGCTGATCATCATTCTTGTGGTACCAATGATAGGAGACATTACTGGGACATTCTGGACAAGAACATGACAAACTATTGCCTTCAGAGAGAACGGCCTTAATCGGAGGCTCTGAAAAAGGACAAATTAAGAAAAAGACTTCAGATGGAGAGAAAATACTTGGGTAAAGCATGCAGTATCATATGAAAGAAAACATCCTCATTCATTACACCAGCAGTCATTGCAGTCAGACATACTGAAAGAGTTTTGATCGGGTATACGTACCTTTGACAAACACATCTTGAATATCGGAGACCCTCTGATATGCAGGCCCACTCGTGCGGGCCTTGTGTGTGTAGGTGGCGTTACACCTATATGGTCCCTGTGTAGATTCTGATACGTCAGTGATCTTGTAGGTAGGGTTGGCAGCATGCATAATGATTGTGTTGTCTTTGTAGAAAACAGTGTCGCTAATTTGATCTGTGCCCCAGGCAATGCACTTCAGAGTCAGAGGCTCCCCAACTACAGCGGGGAAGGGATACATTTCCAGTGATATATCCTGAGCTGAAAGAAGAAGATGCAGATAGATGATTATTGAAGATGGATTAGTTTTTTCTATATAGGTTAAATGACTAAAAATAAAAATAAAAATTCTGTTGCCAAGATACAGTGGTTGATTCAAACCAGTTAATTCAGTAATGCAAATAAAAATAAATATTAATTCATGAAGTAATGTATTAAATTAACATTTAAGTAATTTTGTAAATAAAAAAAAAAATAAAAAAATATTGGTAAAAAAGTTATAAAATGACAACCTGTGATTATTTTCAGTGTTGTGGAAGAGTGGCCTGGACCACCTTTCATTTTTAGTGTGGCACATTAGCTGCATGTCATTTAAATTTAAATGAGTTGTCTACCGGGAACTGTTTACATGACATAAGATAAATGAATTGTATGAGGGAATATGTATCAAGACACTTAATAAATTACGTAATAAGTAAAATTTGAAAGCTTTGAAATCATGTTTTGCATTAACATGCAGTGGTGTATATCTTTAGCCAGAGAAATGTTGTAACAGACACTTAAAATAACCGTATGCCCACCTGAGGTCCTGACTATGACTTGGTTACTTCTCTTGTCTTGACTTTTATCAGTACACCAGAAAATGGTCTCTGGGACTTCCAGTTTCGTGGTTTGAAAGATCGCATGGCCACTGTTCTCCAACTTAAACTTAATCTTCCTCGTTTTTTTTCCTTCCCTGTGGACCCAGCAGACCCATCCCTCCAGACCATCTTCATTGTCAAGCTGCAGCATGACTGAATGTCCGTATTGCATCACTGGGTGGCCGGTCTTGATGGTGAGTGAAGCACTGGGATTGAAGTCTGAGTTGTAAATAAATAATTTATTCATAAAGTATATGTACATATTTGGGAGTTAGAACAGTAATGCTGATGTTCATGTGGTTTACCCATGACGTCGAGGCTGAAATTATCACTCTTTTGCCCATTGTGCTCACATTGGTAAGAGCCAGAGTGCTTGGGGGAAGCAACCGCAAACTTCCAGGTTTTATTCGTCTGCTTTTCTTCTTTGTTGTTAAAGTACCATTTCACTCCGCTCTCACCCACACTGTTGTCACAGCTCAAATAGAATAAGTCCCCAGAGAAGACCATTTTGAGTCGGGGGCACATAGAAACTAAGAAGGCAGAGGGACAAAAGAAAAGATGATATACAGTAAAGTATTTGTGGGGGCATGATGGCACCTCGCACAGTTTGTCATTTCTACAAGAACCTACAAAAGGCCGTTGAACATGTTTATTGCTGCCATCTACAGTATTTACATTTCACACCTCTGAGAAGTAATAGAGGGAAAGCATTTAGGGCTGACACCATTTGCACATGTATGAACAGTGATTACTACCTTCTGTCCTCTGTCCGTGACATCTTTCCAGGAGCACAAACACTGTAAGAAAATATAAAAGTGTTAATCTTTAATAAAGACTGCTTTTTTCACCACTTTACACCTCCAACCACATTAATCTCTCACTTAGAGTAGGGCATCTAATATTTTAGTCACATAAGATTTACCAAATCACCTCCTTTCCCAATGGTTTTTATTTTATGTCTATCTATATTTGTGCAACAGATCAATATTCTGTGAAATCATAAAACACTGATTGTTATTCGTTTGGCATCTTAATTCTATAATTTAGAATAAAAGGACAACCTCTATATATCTATGATGAACAATTGACTGCACTTTATCCTACATATACTGTACATACTGCACATATTGCCTTATCTAGCTACTCAAGACATTGTTATGCAGATATAATGTCTCACAGTTGCACCTAAAATAAATATGTAGTATTTCATTATTGTTGAGGAATTTATCTCATTCTCATATTCATCCATCATTACTTTTAATTCCATCAAGCTAAAGTTCCCTAAAAGCACAAAATATTTCTCAAATATACATATAGTATACTCCACATTGCTGTATTATGTTTTTGATGCGCGTGCTAGAAATGTCTTTTACTGCTTTTTATGCATGTGTGTATATCTGTGCACAGTATGTGTTAATGTACTTGCATTTAAAAGAAATAACAAAATATCATGTATGTAATTAAATCCTTTTATGAAGTTGCCGGAAGCGACGTCAGTACAGCACATATGTAAGTATTAGATAGAAAATGCAATATTTGATAAAGATCTGAGACTATCAAACAATTATCAATTATTTATTCATAATTCATTTTCTACACAAAATTAGCAAAATTGTTATTATAAATTAGTATTGTTATGATTATTTTATTTGATTAAAAATAAAATAAATTCAAATGTCAAAACATTTTTACATGTTTATTAATAATTTTAAATATGTAGGAAACATTTTTGAAACAATTCTTAAATGTTTAGATTTTGGATTTATTTTATTCATATTCATATTTTTTATTAATACATTTTTTTAATTAATTTTAACATGCTGAGTTAACTCGGGTAAGTGTAAACCTCCTTTGAATTGGTACAATTATCAATACAGTATCTTCACAAGTATATAAAAGCTAATACCTAAATGTGAGTGCATCTGTATACATATCAACTTTTTTTTAAGTATATTTTTTGGGCTTTTTTATGCCTTTATTTGCTAGTACAGTAGAGAGACAGGAAATGGGGAGGCAGAGAGAGGGGGAATGACATGCAGAAAAGGCCGTGCGATGCGGGACTCGAACCAGGGCCAACTGCAGTGAGGACTGTAGCCTCTACACATGGGGCGCCTGCTTAGACCACTACGCCACACGACGCCCCATACATATCAACTTTTAACTGTTCAGTAATTTAGGTAATTGCAATTTGCGCTTCTGTTTGTAATGCTGTAAATGTGTATCCTCTAGCTAACAGAAGGACATAATGCTGACTGTCACAGAAATCACACAGCTTCATGAAAAGATTTGGCTTAATGCAAATGTTTTCATGTGGGATGATAATATTAAGCCATGAAATTCCCCTAAACTAGAAATTAATTGAGCTAGAAAGTGTCAAATTAGTGTTAAAATAGTGTCAATGATTACTTTTTAAATATTATTTCATATGTTTATTTTTATTATTTAAGATAAATATCTTCATATGATCTCACCTATACATGTAAAAGTGAGATGATTTTGTTTTAACCTTTATTTATCTAAATAAGACTATTTTAGTATTTTAGTGAGTTTTAGCAATGTTGTAAATATATGAGAGATGAGAGATATATGATTAAATGCTATCTATCACAGCTATATTAGTGTAAAAATTCTGAAATCTGAGTGTAAACTGTATTAATACTAACAAAAAAAATGAAATATAATCCCAAACCTATAACACCAGTAGCCCTATGTTTTATAGAAACCTTCTTACCTGCCAACAGAAGCAGATGTTTTCCTCCACCCATCGCACTGGCAGAGTAACGCATACAAAAGAACCAACACTGTGTATTAATCGTGTTGAGGAAGTAGCTACTGGAAGAGAGGCAAGCACTAATTAGAAACAGAACACAGTTCCCTTCTTCAATAACATAACTTCTCTCTACTTTAGCACTATTTCAGATTGTGTAATACCAAGGGTGTAGACAGAGACTTTTTCTCCAGGAAATGTTTTCAGGACATGTGGTTAACACTTGAGACACAGCATGCAAGCATAACTTTAAGAGACTGATAACATAGAGGCAGAGTGGATTCAATGTAAATATATTTATTATGCAAGACAAAGAAAGAGGAAGGAGAAACCAACAGAAGATGCTTGAGATTTTTTAATTATTTACTACAACTACAACTCCTGTAAACCTTTACCTAGAGCTGTTAAGTTCTTTATCACAATTATAAATGACAAACTACAGTACACAGGTTAACAAAAAAAAAAACGTGACTGAGTGACTTAAAATGAAACTGAAAGTAAAGACTACAAATGTCCAAATCAATATACTCTATATTGAGACAGAACACTTGAGGCCCACTTTATGTGTCAACTCCCTCACTCAGCAAGGCTGTTGGGGAAGCAGTCACAGGACAAGTTAAGAAGTGAGAGCAGCTATGGGCTGGTAGGTGCCTCAGTAGTCCTTTAGACTTGCTTACTGCAAGACCTTCATAGGTACTTCATAACTTCATAATCTTTTTACAAGAGACCATCTAGCCTCACAGGGATCTAAACTAGTGGTGTGTTCAGGGGCTCAATACCAGAATAATGCCAAATACATACATACATCTTCTATTTGTGTCAGTGATGAACAACGTAGCCAGGCCTTTAATAAGAAAATCCTTAATTTTATGCCTGGCTTTTATAAGTTATAACCTGCAGTATATGTATTTATCCAGTCCATGTGCTAAATGCAAACTGAATGTGAATACCTGGTAATATGATGACATTACATTACTGTGTGATACAGTGTGATTATTCCCTTCTGTATGAACTGGCGTGGGCCACCTAATTGACTTGATTGCATGATTTAAACAAGTGACTTGCATGCAATGGCTTATGGGATACTACGGGCTACAAAGAATACACCATTTGTAGGAGTATTTGGAGGAGGCATAGGTAGCCTTTTAGGTCATTATGATGCACAGTATTTGGGCTTGAATTCTATTTTGTGCCTTGTTTACATTATTATTACATTACATTATTATGTGAAATGTACTTTTTAATTTCTAGTTCTAATATTGCAGTTATTTTATACAAATAACTGACCCCTCTACTTATTATTTGGTGTCTGAGTAAAGGGATTCAGAGAAATGAAGGGTATAATGGTATGTCTGGTTTATCACATCACATCCTTAAAACACCCTTAAGCAGAAATAAGATAAGCTGTTTTGAGCTGTCGATGACCACAGCGTGAAAAAAGATGGTGTGAAGTAACTGACAGGGAAGCTCTTAGGCTAAAAGAGGAAACCAAAACTGACATGTGGCAGTCACTAATGGTCAACTTTGAAAATAACGATTTAATGCTCACGTAAGAAACAGACTGAAAAATTGGACTGAAAGAAAACTGAACTAACTACTGCTTTTTTTGCTGTGCTGTGTGACAGAAGAAGTCATTTTTTAAATTAATGAAATTATGACAGAGGGGCTCCTCCCCTGCACATAGAAATGTTGTATACAAGCTAAGTGACTTAAACATCCAAAAGCATCAAAGCACTCATGTGTTCCTCTGTCAGGAAAACTGTATGCACATACAGAATGTCTGTCTAAAAGCTGATCTGCTGAAAAGGCCCATGGTGCGTCACATGACAGTAAAATAATTCCTTTCTGTTTCTTTATCGTTTCTAAGAAATTAGCCAGTTTAGAGCAAGTAGGAAGCTATTTCTCATTCTTTGTTTTTCTCTGAAGTCTTGTTCCCTTAAATACACATCATACTTCCATGGTTCTAAGACTTTACTTTTAAAAGAGGAAGAAAAAACTGTGATCAAGCCAAGGTATGAATGTTGAAACATACATGCTGGGGAACTAAAATAAGAACCTAATAAGGTAAATGGAAACTGCATAAAAAGATTCAGAGTTATCAGAGCATCAATCTAAGAACTATGTTTTATTGCTCATATTTAAATTGTTTGAATTCTGCTTTCAGTTACTTAAAATGGCCACCAGAGTCCAGCACTGCATCGCTTTTCCTAAAGAAAAGACATTTATAAATGAGGCCTTACAGCAGGTTGGAGCCTGTGTTTCACTCTGTCTGTACAGTTATGTTTATGACTACAGTAAGTCACAGGTATTGAATCTCAAATTATTGCATTGTTAAAGTAACATTAATATAAATTTGGTTTACATTTATGAGAACTTTTCAAAGTACTCACACTAAAAATGTGCAGACATAATTTAATATTTTTTAGTCAGTGATTTAAAGCAACACTGTGTCTGTCTGTGCTTCGCAGCTTCGATTTCATAAATCAATAATTTCTCCCTCATTCTGCCCTCTGTCTCTTCCTCTGCTTTTGTTTTCCTTTTTATTCTGACTCTACTTCACCCAAGGCAAAGCAACAGCACTCACTGAAACACAACAAAAATAAAAACCAAGCCAGCACATTCTTACTACTGTGCGCTCCATCTGCCCGTGACCCACTTTTCTCTCCTTGCCTTTGGCATGAGAGGGGTTAACACAGAAAGCAGGAGGAAAGCTAGTTTCTCAGAATAAGGACATTGGGCAGCAAAGGCAGTGGAAGCACCGAGGTAGGATGAAAGTGTGGTGGAGTGGTGCACCATTAAAGGAGAGCACCCACTAGAGCTCTTATCAAGGGTTTCAATGCAGGTGTCATGTCGTCCTTAAGAGGCTGGATATGGCAGGATTCATCTACATCTCCTCTTAACAGAGTGTACTATTGTGTGCATTAATGTAATTCAACCGGGTTCACCTTCCTCTGTCTTCCATCTTTGTGCTGATGGGCTGTAAAAGCAACCACAGAGCATAAGGACAGTTTTCCACTCAAACACTCAAGCTGCATGAATGCTATTCACTGAAACTGAAATATATGTTTTTATGTATTATATAAACTTATTTGGTATCATACAAACATTAAAGTAATGAATATGTTGTTTCCTATTTATAATTAAAATTTAGAATTAATATCACTGGTGTTTGGATTTTAAAATGAGGAAGTAATGAAAGGCCTGGCCATGTGAACATATCTGTCTTTCTGTAAACCCTCAAACAGAGGTCAGATCCTGGAATGGAGGTTAAAAAAAAGAATTAAAAACATTAAATTAAATATTTTTTATCATAATTCTTTATCCATTTTAATATTTTCTTCTCAGTTGTGTATTTCATGTTTTTTGTAAAGCACACCATGTTTTCCTTCTGTATGCTTTTAATAGTATGCCTAGCTTTGAGGTTGTGGTTACAGGTGTAAAAGAGCACACTTGTGTCCACACCCAACCACACCCTTCAGAGAAGCTGGGTTCTCAATCATCATCCATAAATCTACTTAGAACTTGCCTGAGAATCTTCATTTTTAAGTTTCCTTCAGTATCAAATGAATCCACTGATAGTTCTCTGTACTTCCATGGCTACAATGCAAAGAGGAAGTGCTAATAGCTAATTCAGCTTAATTTTAATAATGCTAAATAAAAAATAAAAAAAAAATAGTTGTAAAACAGGGCTCAAGTTGAAGTGTAACTCACTAAACCCATGGCAACGTTATGCTTCCTGTTTACTGCTGAGTTTTTCAAATGTAATTTTCAGTGCGATGAGCATAGCAAACAAAATGTTACTCAGCTCCACTGCACTAGGATTGAGGCTGAAATCCCAGCAGCAGATATCTCAAACCTCACCAAATAAATGGTTTCTTTTTTTATTTATTTGGGTGAATAGACATTTTGAATTAGAGAGAACAACACAAAGATGGCATCAGTCCTCCATGTTTGTGTAAAGTCAGACCGGTGGTCGTTACCTGAGACGATTCTCTCGACAGATCAATGAACACTGAACGAACCCGTGCTTGTCATCATCTTTTTATTTCTACAGCAGCGCCCATAAAGCCACATTTTATCAATGGAAGAAGTCAAAGCAATTTTTCCTCATTTCTGTGACGACCTCTCAGCGTCAAAGACACAAAAGAGGAACAGTGAGGTGGCCTGAATCCATCCACTGTACATGTGAGACGGTGAAAGATAGAGGGGAGGGAATCATATCATGGAACGAGCGTGAGTGTGTCTGATTGATAGAGTGACAGAAATAATGAGCGAGAGAGAGAGAGAAGACAGAGAGGCTGGAATGTGGTGGAACAGTGAAAGATAAAAAGGCTGAGTGAGAGAGTGTAATGAAGAAAATTGGGGATAATTGAATAGAAGAGCACTTGGGTGCAAAAAAAAAAAAAAAAAGCAGAGAGCAACTGACAGATGGATGGTGAAGAGTCAGTGCACATTGGAAGTACAAAGAGAGGAAGGAGAACGGAGGAGAGAGATCAATCGAGCAGCTGAAGTAAGAGAGAGAGAGAGACTACGCCACGCTGGAGATAGCGTGCATGAATGTGTGTGCAATATGGAGAGAGAGAGAGAGAGTGCGCGAGAGAGAGAGAGAGAGAGATATGGCTATACCGGGGCACAGAGTAGGTGAAAGTGTGTGTGTGTATGTGTGTGTGTGTGTGTGTGTGTGTGTGTGTGTGTGTGTGTGTGTGTGAATGAAAAAGAGAAAGAGAGGCTGCACACTACAATGGCTCAGGCTGGCTCACACCGATGCACATTTAAAGACTAGAAGGCATGAAAATGTGATTTTGAAGGAGAAAAAGCAAATCACTTTTTCTTCTTTTTCCTCATCTATTTTTCATCAATTGGATCTTTCTCTCATTTTCTAATCTCGGTCCCTTTTTACTCTCTTTGTGGTTTATCAAGGAGGTCACTGCGGATACAACGAGGAGCAACACAGCCTGAACTACAGACTAAAAGGTATTTACTTTTTCTCTGTTTCTTGGTTGGAATTAATCTAAACAAGAGTAATTATTGTGTGTATCTCACAATCAAAGTAATGCAAAGTGTTCAT